TGGAGAAAAAATTAGCAGTGAAGAAATAGAGTATGACGCTTAGCAGTCATTTGCAAATGAGCATGATGTGATAAAGCAGTTGGTGCTTTGTAAACATCAGTGTTAAAATGAAGTTTGTGTTTATACTTTATATAAACCGCCCGATCAGTTAGCGTGTAGCTGAGTCTCCAGCCCTAGCTAGCCCATAGTCCATAACGTCGAGTGCGGAGCCCGTGCACGTGTAGGAGGAACAGGCATCGCTAAGGAGCCGCTACCGACCACCCATAACGCAGAGGGCAGACACTCATGCACGTGTAGGGAGGAGCCGGAGATAGGGCCGTCTCTGGAGGCATCGAGCGTCAACATGACTGGTCGAGGATTTGCATTAAGTATAGCTGTATGTTATATTTAAGATGGTATACATGGACAAGCATTATTTGAAGAATAATCATGACGAGGACGTTGTGGAGAAACGTCGTAATGAAAATTGTGTTAAATATAAATATTAGAAGTGTACTTATCTTTGAATAGAAATCTGGTCGATGGCGATAAAGTTGTTCGATCCTCATACTTTTCGGCCTGTTGTGACGGTGGTCGCGGTTGTCATAGCGCCGTTCTTCGTGGCGATCATCATTGCAACGTGGTCTGGTGGTCAAGGTGGTCGGAGCTCGGCGGAGCCGCTCAGGACGTGGTCGACGTGGTCTGGTGGTCTTGGTGGTCGGAGCTCAGCGGAGCCGCTCGGGATGTGGTCGACGTGGTCGGAGCCAGATCCACCATGGTCGAAGCCGTAGCCGATGCAGGTGAAGCAGCGGTCGATGCGGATTGAGTCCAGACCTCCTCCGTGATCATGGTGATGAAGTCGTCGGAGCTAGTGGTCCAGGTGATCTGGCCGATGGTGAACGTGAGGCCGTTCGGCATAGCCACGGAGCCGGGGATGATGATCATCTTGTTCGCTTGGAGAGCAGTACACACACCCCCTACCTGGCGTGCCACTGTCGATGAAATATGGTCGGCAGTCTACCTAGGGGTATGCCCAAGGTAGTAGATTGTCGGCAGACAGGTGCGCAAGCTACGAACAAGATGATAACGCAAGACAGACACGAGGTTTTATCCAGGTTTGGCCGCCGTGAGGGTGTAATACCTACGTCCTGCGTCTGATTGTATTGCTGTATGTCAATGAGATGTGTCTTTTAGAGGGGTCCCCTGCCCACCTTATATAGTCTGGGGGACAGGGTTACAGATCTGGAAACTAATCCTAATCAGTTACAACTGCTATAGGTAGCCGGATAAGGATTCCTATTCTAATCGACCAGGATCTTGCTTGATCTCCAAATCTGCCTTGATTCCTTGCGCGGGACTCCAAACAGATTGGCTGGACCGCGCGTCGTCTTCTAGTGAGCCAGATCCCCTAGTCCGGGCCAGCCCGAGCCTAGCCATAAGGGTATAGGGGTTAATACCCCCACAACTGCCGCCCTTCTTCTTCAACCAGAACAGGTGTCTGAGAGGTTGAAGTGTTGAAGAATTCCCAAATACGCTTTGTAGAAGTGGATAAAGATCGAGATGTGCAAGATGGAGTTTGGGTGAAGTTTGCACAGACTAAGTGCCCAGAACTCCAATAGATCCCTCAAAAAAGGATGAACAGGAAATCCCAATCCTCGCCAAAAATAATCCTCAAACACCACTACTTCATCGGTGTGAGGCATTGGGAAGGGCTCACCACTGGCTGGCCACCATCCGGCGATGACGTGGTCAGGAAGAACGCCCACCTCCACCAATCTATCGAGCTCCGCCTCCCCCGTGCGCGACGGCACCCACTCTTCATCACGGCTGGGTCCGGCACCCACCTTCTTTGGGTTCACAGCTCCCCTCTTTGGCGCCATCTCTCAGATCTGGATGGGGACTGGCGGTGAAAGCACGCGTGGATGTGAATCTGAAAATGCGAGGGCTAAGGAAGAAGATGAAAATGGCAAAGTGCAAAGGTGGGAGCGCGGGGTTCGGCGGCGCAGTTATAAAGCACCCCCACCTTTTCGCATTCGAGGGTTTTTGAGAAACTGCTCCCGCGATTGGCGCCTCTCCACATTCTCCCCAACAGCAAGGTGGGTCGTTACTTGGGCTTTTGCGCAACCGCGGCTCGTATCGCCGATTTATCTCCGTAATTTGTTATGGCTCGTCGAATATTCGCTGACTTCTCCACCAAACGTTACGGCCCAGTAATTACTACTGTACAACCATTACTCCGGTATTTTCTCTGTGATTTGTTTTCTCTAAGATTTTCTCTTGTGGCTCGAGGACTGCGTCAGCATTACATCTCAGTTCCTCGCCGCATTGGGGATTTTTCTTCTGTTGGCTGCTGTTTCTGACCCTAGCACCATGTGACTACGTCACCTACTGTCAAGCTCGGGAACTAAGTGGGCACACTTCACCTTGCGGTGAATGTTTTTTCTCATTTCGGGGCTACGTCCGGGGACTGGCTGCCTGCTCGGCTGATCTTATACTATTCTTCTACTTTGGACCCTTGCACCACATGACTACGTCATCTACTGTCAGGCTCGGTGACTAAGTGGGCACACTTCACCTCGCGGTGAATATGTTTGCTTTATTTTAGAAGACTCCGCGCCTCTTGAAGCTGAAGAAGATTTTCTCCTTTTCTCGTGGTCGGACTTTAAGTGGGCACACTTGGTCCACTGCGAAGAAATTTTCGATTCTGAACTTGAGCTCCTTACACCCTTATGGCAAGCCGTACTTGGGTCACACTGCTCGGCAACAGATCGTGCTGCTCGGCGACAGATCGCGTTGCTCGGCGACGGTTCACGCTGCTCGGCAACTGCTCACAACTGCTCGGCAACTCATCACGGTGGTCGGACCATGAGTTTGACTGCTCGGCTTTGTTCGCACCTACTCAAATAAGCTCAAGACGACGTTGCACAATGGGTACAAGGCGCTCGGGAACTAGTTATGGGGGTACGACCCCGGATACCCACGGCGGGCCATATGGGCTGCGCCCCTAGGGGTGGTCCAGCCCACAAGACGAAAACTTGCGGGGCACGACTCTGTCCAGCGCCTCCCGCAAGACACCAAAAAGATATCCCGAAGATACTACGAGATCTGTTAGGATACGTATGATCCCATGATTCCTGTAATCTGTTATTACTTTCCAGTTATCTCTCAGATCTAATCGACTTGTAACCCTACCCTCCGGACTATATAAGGTGGGCAGAGACCTCCTCTAAACTCACGCAATATCATATGATAGCCAATACAAACCAACATACCACAGGAGTAGGGTATTACGTCATACTGACGGCCTAAACCTGTATAACTCGTGTTTCTTTGTTGTCTTCTTGTTCTTGATTACACGCCTCTCTGTCGATCAATCTATCTTCGTGGGATACCTCTCGGAGGACTATCGACGATATTCTGTCGACACTAATAGTCTGTGCTATCCAACACATTGCCGTAAGGATACATGCCAGATAGGTTAGGTTAGTTCAGTATGCATGCTGACGGGTCTAGCGAGTATTGGGCAGAGACTATGCTTAAATTAGAGGGTGTTTGGTTGTCACCTCCTAAAATTTAGTGTATGTCATATCGGATGTTTAACACTAATTTAGAGTACTAAACATAGACTAGTTACAAAACTAATTGCACATATTGAGATTAATTTATGAGACGAATCTATTAAGTCTAATTAGTTCATAATTTGATAACATATTGCTACAGTACATATGTTAATGATAAATTAATTATGCTTAATAGATTAATTAGTTATGACTTCTGTAATTAACTTTATTATTATATTACCTTAAAATCCGGCGTGACGCTCGGTGTGACAGTGACACCTTATTCTGTGAGATACGGATGGTCCGTGCAATTTAAGAGGACGCACGCGCGGCATGCCCGGGGGCCCGCATTTCAGATCGTGCCTCCCACCCCGCGCCGAGCCGCCCGGTCCAACCCAACCGTGTTTCATCCGGTCATCCCCCGCTCGTGAGTCGTGAACCCACCCAAGTCCACGGCCCACCCCACCACAATTCCTCCTCCAGCTGCCCGAAACCTTTTGCATCCCCTCCACCACCACCGCCCCCTCTCCTTCACCACGAGCCAGCCCGGCGCCCCACCCAGATTTAGCCTATCTCTCCCACCGCGGCTGCATTCATCTTCCCCCACCCCATCCGTAGGGTCGTCACGTTACCCCCTGGCCCTGCGTGTTGATTTCTTCGTTTGTGCTTGGTAAGAACGCCCTAAATTGCTGATTTTCCTCCTATTTCGGTTTGAAGAACCGTCCCTTTGCTTTGAGGCCTAGAATCGGAATGTTTGTCTATGCTTTGACGCTCCGATCCGTCTGGTTTCGTTGTGGATTTGTTGCGTGGTGGGGCTATTGCAAATGGAAAGCTCTTGTTTTCTTTTGAGGGTGGTTCAGCTGAACACCCCCCGCCACCACAATACGTGCACCGCTGAGAGAGAGAGAGAGAGAGAGAGAGAGAGAGAGAGAGAGGTCATTGTTGTTGCCATAATATTGGATCGAAATGTCATGGGTGAAGCTCTACGCTGGTGGAATGTTTAAGCCCTAGATGATTGGCGAGCTTGATGAGCCATACGAGATGATCAAACCATAGTTTTGACAGACAAAGGTAGCTTTTTGAATCTTGTTTCTAGGATCCATGGGGGTGGGGAAGAGCAGGAAGATTGGGAGCAGGTGTGTTCTTTTTTGTGCTGCATGGAATCCAGGATTCAATGGTTTTCATCAAGGATTTGAATGTCACTAAGATGTCATATTGGCGACAACCAATTCCTGGTATTATGTCTGGAATAATCAAATATGCGATTTTTAAAGGTCGAGAAGCCATATATATATATTTTTGTTTCTTCATGAGTCATGACAGAATGGGGCTGCCTAGTAATTTCTTCACTCCATTTTTATCATTATCGACTCACTTCACACTCCAATGACTTCTCTATCATCATCTTTGTTTTAACTCAATTTATTTTCCTATTGCAGCTTGCATAAACTATTTAAATAAATGAAGGCAAATATGGGCACAAAAGCTCGTCCACCATCTGCTGATGCAGAAAAAGGAGAGATTGGCGAAATAGATACAAGGGCTCCTTTTGAATCTGTTAAAGCTGCAGTGAGTTTATTTGGTGAAGTCCGGTTTTCATCTGACAAATCAGCTGCAAGAAAGCCCAAGGCTCCTCAAGCAGAGGTAATGAAACATTTTTCTTTATCAAAGTTGTCACCACGCCCCCCCCCCCCTGTTTATCTCAATTTTAGACCCGAGTGTGCCTTGACCTTTGGTTGGGATGGTTACTCAAAAGCAGAAAGTCCTGGAGATAGGTCACACAAACAATTGCACTACGGGAATTAATATGACCATTGTGTGGCATACCTTAAGAATAGCTAGGACTAGAAATACATAAAAAACTAGATAGGACTAGAATACATAAAAAACTAGATAGGACTAGAATACATAAGAAACTATGTTTTTTTTTCCACAACAGCCAAAGCCGAATTTCATTACTAAACAGCAACGAAATTATAAGACTTTGTAGTGACCAAAAACAAAACACCATGCCAAACCTAACTTGCAGCCACATTGTGTGAACACTAAGGGTTCACCCAATTGGCCCAAAACGACCCAGATAACCAAAAGTGCCAAACTCAGAAAGCAATACATAAGAAACTATGTGCCCTGATATTATCTCTTTTGTTTGCTACAGTCGATTTGTCAGACTTAACAATTCCACATTTGTGTGTTTTTTTTTTTACCTTTTGGAAGCTTTCTAGAAAATCTGCAGAATCAAACACCCTCACCTGGGTTGGATAATGGCATCTGTACTCGTGTCCATGTAACACTGGGGGGCAGTAGTCCTCAAATCTAAATTGGCCTTTACCATCTTATTTTCTTTACATCCATGTGATATAAAGTTGCTTTTTTTAACAGACAAAATATTAATTTACAGTTGTAGAACAGAAGTCTTATGACCAAAGAAGACTGCTTTGCATCTCATTAGTTTTGCAACACACTTTTTACTTATTGTTTATATTATTTGTTTAATTGTCTTATATAAATGGGAGTGTTGCATGGTCTGAAGAATAGTTGGATTCTTGGATCCATTACTTTGCAGTCACTAGTTCAATTGAGAAAAAAAAATGCTTTTAGATCAAGCTGGTTTAGTAATTTGTTTTTGTAGGTTCAGAATAGACAGTATGATGGAAAGGAATATCAATTAGAAATAGTTTGAAGAAGTGTTATGCATACAGATAATTAACATTCCTTGAACAGAGAGGAATAAATGCCACATTACCCAGTGCTAGATTGTTGTCCAATTGGAGGATTACAATTTTCCAGCGAACCTCACTATCCTCTACCACAGTAGCTGATCTGGAACCTGCTGTTACAACTCAACTATTTTGCCTTCTGCCAACTACAACTCGAGGACCAACTCAACTGTCTTTGAAGTTGCCCTTTTAAGCTTATAGCTGGATAGCCCAACATGTTTTCTCTTACATCTAAATCTCTGTGTTTAGAGAACATATTTAATGACTTAATTGCTCCTCTATGTTTTGCTCCTTGAGTTTAAACCTATAATGATACATTGACATAGGTCACCTGTCATATCAACTTTAAGACTATTCATGTAACTTGAATGATTACATGCCTGTTTCTCGATATATGTTTCTGATGCTTTGCAATTATTGGAATTATGTTTACCAGAGGGTTTTAGCCAAGGAGACAGAGCTGCACTTGGCCCAGAAAGAGTTGAATAAATACAAGGAACAACTGAGTAATGCCGAGACAACGAGAGTACAGGCTCTCTCTGAGCTAGAGAAAGCTAAAAAAACTGTTGAGGAGCTAACGACCAAGCTGGATGTGATTAACAAGTCCAAACAGTTGGCCATTCAGGCAACAGAGGATGCAAAGACTCGAACCAAGCAGCTTGAAGGTGGCAGCACAAATGAAGGTCTAGGAACAGATGGTCCTCTGAAGCAGGAACTGGAAAGTGCAAGGGAGCAGTATGCTGTCGCTTTGGCAGACCTTGATGCAGCAAAACAGGAGCTTAGAAAGCTCAAGAAGGATTTTGAAACATCTTTGGATATGAGGTTGTCTGCTGCCCAGCAGGAGGAGAGGAATCACTGCATACAACTGAAGCCAACAAAGAAAAAGCTAACCAACTTCGTAGTGAGATCGCCGAAATTCAAGAATCGCTTATACATGTTAAGGCAGCTACGGTGCAAGCACACGAAGAAGAGGCACAAATCCTTGATGAGAAGGATGTTGCTAGGACCACGTATAAACAAGCTTTGGAAGAAACACAGAAGAAATTGTCGTCTTTGAGGAATGATTTTGACCCTGCTGCTTATGATAGTCTGAAAGAAAAACTAGAACAAACCAATTCTGAGATTGCATCTATGCAAAAAAAAATAGAAGATGCTCGGGCTCGGGATTTAGAGTCTGTTGCTGTTGTCAGCACAGAGCTGGATGATGCTAAGGAAATGTTGCAAAAAGTAGCAGAGGAGGAAAGTTCTCTTCGAAGTTTGGTGGAGTCACTGAAAGTGGAATTGGAAGCTGTAAAACAGGACCACAATCAGCTCAAAGAGAAGGATACAGAAACTGAATCTATTGTGGGAGATTTACATGTCAAGCTTCAGAAATGTAAATCTGAGCTGGAGGCTGCTGTGGCTGCTGAATCAAAAGCTACGTCAGCTTCTGATGACCTGATGCTGGCCCTTCAGCAACTGTCCTCAGAGTCAAAGAATGCCCTGCAAGAAGCTGAGATGATGCAGAAGAGTGCAGCAGAGCTAAGAGAGGAAGCCGAAAAAGCTCGGGTTGAACTAGCAGAAGCCGAACAAAAGTTGCAATTGGCATTAAAGGAAGCAGAAGAGGCTAAAGCAGCTGAAGCAAGGGCCCTTGATCAGATCAAGCAACTCTCTGACAGAGCAAGTGCTGCTAGAGCCTCAACTTCAGAGTCTGGAGCAAATATCACAATTTCAAAAGAGGAGTTTGAATCTCTAAGCCGAAAGGTTGAGGAGTCAGAGAAGTTGAGTGAGATGAAAGTTGCTGCTGCTATGGCTCAAGTGGAAGCCATCAGAGCCAGTGAGAACGAGGCAATCAAGAAACTAGAAGCTGCCCGCAAGGAAATGGAGGACATGGAATTGGCAACAGAAGAGGCCCTAAAGAGGGCAGAGATGGCTGAGGCAGCCAAAAAGGCTGTAGAAGGTGAGCTTAAGAGATGGCGTGAGAAGGAGCAGAAGAAAACTGCAGAGGCGCAGCCTTCGGCAGGGGCAGAAGAACTTGGAAGTGCATCTCCCCCTGTAACTCAGACTTCTGCTGGAAAAGCTTCTGAGAAGAACGACGGGCATCAAAGGAACAGCAGAACGCTACTGAGGAGGAGCTTCATGCTGCCAAACATCACGAGCATGTTCCATAAGAAGAAAAGCCATCCTGGCAGCAGTTCTCCCTCGTACCTTCCTGGGGAAAAATCTGTGTAATCTATCCGAAGCTCTTGTTTGCAAATTGAAATTTCCAAACTCAAACGCATGCTTTGACGCTATAATCTGTATAAATCCGTGTACTTCATTGTGCCTTGCAGTAAATTTCTGACATAATTTTAAATTTGCTTGTACCCCTAATTTTCGGCACTTTCTGGACTTCCGGATGAGGGCATTGTACCTCTGTGATCCACTGTTATACTTCAGCAACAGTATCTTAGTCATGTTCTTGCAAGCTTCCAGAATAGTGGAAGCAACAAACTTGCTGCGAATTGCATTCATGAACTATGATCTCAACATGGTACAATTATGCATATGTTCTCTGGAGAGGTCCCTTGTTTATGTTGAAGTATGTATCAATCACTGCAGCCAACATGTTTATAGAAAAATACACCCCAGTGATCTAGAGTACATAACTATTATATGAGTGTCAGCCTGTTAGGTCCCCATACAAGTATAGCACTTAATTTGCTGCGCAAATTGCAAAATAAAAGAATGCTAGGTTACAGTAAGCTCCTTATATTTACAAGAGCTGCAAAAGTAGAATACTCAGATGTAGGCTCGACGCGTACGAGTATGCGGCTAGGTCCTTTCTTTCTGATGATCCTGCATAGATCATCTCATATGATCAACAAGATAACTCTGGCCTGCTTGACAGGAGTTCCCCAGAATATGTATGAAATAGAACAATTTCTCCTAGTAGTTTCTTTGAAACCGTATCTTCTGAGATGGGGCTGAAAGACGGGTTTTGGAGCTACATCAATCCCATACTGGAGGCCTGTATCTAGTGGACTGGTACAGGAATCAACTGAATCCATCTACTCAATCCTTTCAAGGTTATATTTTACCATACTCTCAAGGGTACTTTTGAAATCACTTCTCGGAAGGCACTGCAGGTTTTGGATAGCCAAGTCACCCTTCTCTCTCGCAAGCTCATGTGCCCTCCTTATTCCACCGCTCCTGTGAACAAGCTCTATCGCAGCAGCTAACGAATCAGTCTCACTGAACTCGGAATCGATGATCTCTCTTAGCTCTGGTTCATCTTGCAAAGCAAAGATGACTGGAGCTGTCAGGTTTCCCTTCGCCAAGTCACTTCCTGCTGGTTTGCCAAGTTGCTCAGCTGATTGGGTAAAGTCCAGGATGTCATCAACTACCTGGAAGGACAGCCCAAGATTCCTGCCATATTCATACATTTGTTCACAAATAGTCGTGCTGATGCCACTGAATATGGCGGCTGACCTTGTGCTTGCTGCGATCAGAGATGCAGTTTTGTAGTAGCTCTTGAGAAGGTAATCATCAAGAGTGATGTCACAGTCAAAAAGAGTGGATGCTTGTTTTATCTCACCACTTGCGAAGTCCTTGATGACCTGTTAGGGCACAGTATCATTTCTGTTAAGAAAATCAAGTACTATCTTAAACAGGAAATGAAAGCATTGCTCAAGTCCTTGATCATCTGGCTGATCAGCTTTATAACTTCAATGTTTTCTAAGTTTGCAAGAAACCAAGAAGATTGTGCAAACATAAAATCACCAGCAAGTACAGCGACCCGTGTACCATATAGCTGATGAATAGTTTCCTTTCCTGAAAAACAGTCAACTACATATTAGGCTATATTGGCCAACTGAATAATGAGCCCTTCTATTCTGATGAGCATGATAGTGTAACACTGAAAATAAATATTAGGCTGCCAATGTGGTGGTGAGGCTGTTTGTTCTCTTGTCCACCTAGGTTCATGACCTAGGGCTGGCTTCAGTTCATGTCTCTCTTTAAGTCGATGCAAAAATTCCTTGTAATTTTCAAACAAAAGATAAATGATAAGATGAAGACTGCAACTTTGTATGATGATTTCTGTCTGATTAAAATCATGTGTGAGAAAAATGTAGTAACAGTATAGCTCCCAAAAGAAATAATGATTCCCCAGTTAATCCATGCTCTAACATTGGAAGTATTTGGATGATAAGAATCAGTAGAGGCAAATGCATCTATAAAATGAAAAAAGAAATAACAGTTTTATTCACAATATTCTGATTTATTTGAAACAACATATCATCTACCTCTTCGCATCCCACTATCATCTATGACATCATCATGTATTAAACTTGCGGTGTGAATCATCTCTATAATCTCTGCCAATCGTTGGTGTTCTGTAGTTAGCTCCCTGTATTCCAAAAATATAGTTTTTTTATGTAAGTATTCCAAAAATATAGTCTCAGATAATAATTTCAAAACATTTCCTTCAAAATGGTAATGCCGTAATAACAAAGAGAACTTACGACAAACCAGCTAACTTAGCAGTTGCTCTAGACACCAGAAAAACTAATGCTGGTCTTAATCTCTTTCCACCGGCACCAAAAATTTGTTCAACCGCAGAAACCAAAACAGGATTTTCTGCACCAACAAGCTATTGAAGTTATGTTAGCTGTTATTGTGGTAGGTACGCACAATTTTACAATGTCTTACCTTATACAGATAGCAACTCAGTGGAAGAAGTTAGGATGAAAAAATGTCAAATAAGAACCAGCTAAAGCCACCTGTCCACTCTAACCACCCAACGTCCTCAAAATATGGGGCCAATGCATGAAGAAATATAGGACAGTTTAAAAAGGGATGCACCATTAAGCTAAGCAGCTCTCTCGGTCTCATTAGTCATTTAGATTATGGACTCCCATGCACTGTAAAGTCAAGTCATGGACAATAAGTGCAGAATGGTGCAAAGCACACATTGTCTACATCCTTTTGGATAACAAGTGCAAATGGTGCAAAGCACACTTGCCAAAACTAAGGCAATCTAGGATGAAGCAACTAGTAATAGAATGGAAGTGTACACTGGTTTGTAAAGTGATTTGAGGGCAAAAACATGGTCACATACTTACATACCAATTTAATGAATTACGAGCACTAACCAATATTATCAAAGTGAGTACTTCATAACAGGCCCCAATTTAACAATCAGCCTTTTAACAACGCACTTAAACAGAAAGATACTACTTAGTTTTTTTCGAAAGGATGGTGGAGGCTTTATTAGAAGAGAATGGGCACAGATTATAAGGGAAACCAGGTTAAAAAAACGTATAACTAGGGATACAAACCCCGAACAACTTGGTCACTAAACCACACAACTAGGTGGTACACAAACCATCCCCACACAACCTTCGGTCCTCTGACTCTACAACTAGGCGTACACAACTTCGGTCAAAAGACCAAAACAACTAGGCCAGGAATCCAATTGCCCGACACCACAACTCGCCTAGGAGAGCATCTCAGGACGGATTTGGCCCTAGGCAAGAGGCGTGACCGCCTAATCCATGCCGCTAAGGGGCCCATGTGTTCGTATGTCCTGCATATCAGCCAATGTACGCATAAGCCAGGATTTGAAGGCCCAAAGACCAAAACACAATAGTCAGCCTCTTCCCGCAATTCTGCACATGCTCGCACTCGTTGGTTCTTTGGGTGATCGTGGTTTCGCGCTTCGCCTGGATGAACCGCTAATGGCGCCACGGTGGTCAGGCGGTCAGTGCCCGTGCAACTTCAAGGAATCAAGGTACATGTGTCGATGGATTAGATTGGATTGGATTGGATTGTCTAGGCCATCGGTTATGCCTTTACATGATTTCTGAATTCCAATAATCCGATTCAATTTTATCTGACTTAAGTCATCTTGTCTGTTCCTGCTGCTTGTGGGGTTTGGTCGTTTGGATTTAGTAATAGTGGAGTATTGTGCTGCCCTCGTGACCTCATGCATTATTATCATTAGTAAATCCCTCAATCCATATCCATTGCTTGTTAATTATTTGTTTAGCATGTTAGAAAGTTAGCCTGTTACTGTTAGGGTTCTAAACTTAGTAATTCTAAGTACTTATTACTTTCATATTTTAGGTGTTAGAATGTTGCCTAACAAGCATTTGTCGGTTTCCAAGAAATGGGAAAAAGACAAATAACTGAACCATTGTTGTCTTATTAAAGGTAATCATAATAGTTATTTTATTGTTCTTTTAGTTTCTTATGTTTATTTAGTGTCAACTTTTTCTCTTACATGAACTAAATATATGTTGCAAGTTAACTATTACTAATACTATGATATATTTTATTTATCATATTACAGATGAGAAAAACTATCTAGCGTAAGGGCTCACAGTGTCATGTTGGTACAAGGGTCATCAAACTGCTGCTATCACAGGAGTACGTCTCTTTCCGAAGCATTTCGGAGTAAACAGAGCAAAAAGGTGCGGCAGTCTTTAGAAGGCGAGAGAGCAAAACGCTCACCGATTTTAGATTGTTGTTTAGTTTCAGCAAGTCGTCCGAAACAACCTCCAAAAGCGAGGACACCGAAGTACGGTCGGGGACGGTCGTCGCATTCGGAATGGTTGCCGCCGGTACGTCGATCGCAGCAAGACCTGCACAGATGTGTAGCCAGACAGCACGAATCCAACGCTAGTAGTGCAAACGACGCAGCATAGTTTAGCAACAGAAGTCAACAAAGGCGGACCTGGCTGGCTTGGTGAGACCACGAAGCAAACACCTGGCGTGCGCCTCTTCGATACCGCCCTGCAGGCCCAGCTGTACCGGAGCCGAACGCTCTGTGCGCGAGCGCCGCGCTGGAAGCACCCGAGGCGGAGCTGCTGCGGCAGCGGAGGCGAGTGCGACTGGGCCGCGGCCGTGGCGGTGGCGGTGGCGGTGGCGGTGGCGGTGGCGCGGCGGGAGAGGTGGGAGGAAGAGGCGAGGGAGGACGACGGCGCCGCCATGCTCATGGTCCTCGGGTGGCGGTGGTGGCAGGGCAGCGTGCGCGGCCCCGGCGTCTTGCAGTTTGTGAGCTTGCGGTGACACGCGACGCGGCAGGCAACCACAGGCAGGCGGGTGGCGAAGGCGGGAGTGGGGCCCGTCCCTTGCTGCGTGGGCGAGTTGGCGGCCGTGGCTTTGTATCGTCCGGTCGCGCCTTATCGCCGCCCATGGCCCATGGGATAGGGGCAGCCTGGGCCGTGGACGCTGTAAGCTGGCGTACTGGCGGTGCAAAGGCTGCTTGGGTGGGGATTGGGGACACGGCGAGGAACCCCACGATGTGAGTTTGAAACTGCACGCCAACAGCGGAAATTTCTATTTCCGGCTGCAGGAAAGGGCAAAGTGGACGCAGTAGAATCCCACAAGATTGTTCCCTTTTGAGAATTGTTATAGATCAAAAAATGTCAGGAAGAGTGTTAAGTGGGTTTCTCAAGTGATCTGGCTTTGGGATCTACACTTGTCTTTCGGGTGGAGCTTTTGTGGGTTCAACAAAGACTCCACATTGAGAACTGCGCGTAGCGCAGATGGCAGAAGCTGGTGGTTGGCTTGCTACCCGCCGGTGTTCGAACCATAGGTTCGACGCTGGTGTCTCATCGGGGTTTTTCCCCAGCACTGCCTAGGTTGTGCCCTGGCTCATCTGCCTCTCACACATGATGCCACAATAGGATCGTGACGTACCCGTCGTCTACGAAGTCAGAGGATTTTGATGATCTTAAGAAGGATGCGGTCTTCAGATCTGAGTGTAGCTATAGGTTTGTTTGTACACGGATGGCGTGAGTAGTGTACGTGTGTTGAGTGGGCGTGCGTGTGTATGAACAGATGTTACAGCTGTACCTAGATGAGAGGCATTAAAAAAAAACAAAGACTCCACATTTGATGTTTGGCTTGGTAGGCATACGAGGAGTGATTTTGGTAAAGGTGGGAGCAGTAGAGAAAGGTGGCTTCTCACTCAATTTTGGACCACTACACTTACCTATCTTGTCATAGAGTTTGTCACTCAACCCTCAACATCAAAGCCTACACCTGCTTCACACCTTGAACTGGTGGATCATCATCCCCAATTGGAGCTCCCAACATGACACCCAGCTCAAGATGGTCCGAAGGTATGTTTTTCTTCCTCAGACTTCACCATGACAGTTGTTGGTATTTCTTATGCTCAAGTAGAGAATTCCACAAGCGCACAGAATATACTGTTGTAGCACTTCACCTAGGAGTACTCCAAACTATCATTATTTATTTTATCTCAAGAAAAAGGGATAGCTAGAAATGATAATAAATGAGAGATTTTAATATTTACTACAACTTAGTATCAAATAGTGTAGAGGGATAATCAAATAGTGATGGGAAGGATTGATGAAACAAGTTCAAGCTAACTCTAGGATAACTTAGTAAGGTATAGCTAGGTAGGAGGACAACGAGAGAGTATAAGGTTTCTATGATTCAAACTCTACTTCTAAGAATATATCTTAATCACACAATTGCAACACAAAGATTAAGTCCACACAACAAATATACTAGGCAGTAGGTGAGACAATAGGAGACAAAACTCCTACTGACGCAGGTACCTTGTTACAGGAGCCTTACCTTTTAAGAACTTGCCTAAGAACACATGGTTGAAAGCCCTAGTTTGGTCTTAGATAATTGATGAAACATATTGGACTAACCCTATTCACTAGATGTGGATTTGAGATAGGTTGGTCCAAGTCAAGTGATGGAGCTAGATGACACTCATGGTGATGGAGGTGGCCTAAGAGATGGTGAATCAAGTGCTCCAACTTGAAAAAGAAGAAAGAGAAACAAAAATGGGTTCAAGGCAAAGGTCATGCAATAGGGCCATTTTGTTTTGCCGATCAAGACACTATAGAGAGTGTGACTGGGTTTAGGATAGATAGCCGTACTATGAAGAGGGAAAATCATGGTAAAAGCGGTTATCAAGTGCCACTAGGTGATGTCATTTCATACATATGCATTAGGACCCAGTGTGTGCTAACTTGACCCTTGAAAATACTTTAGAAAATGCTAACACATGTGCACAAGTCTTGGGACACATTGGTGTTAGCACATGGAAGCAAGGATAGAAGAAAAGAAGTGAAAGGTGTCTTAGGGGCATCGGACCATGGTTGGCGGGCAGCCGGACCATGGCGTCTGGGTCCAGTCGCTGACCCTAAGTGAGGCTGCTCTGATCGCGAGCACCAGACCCAGACTCAGGCAGGGCGTCAGCCCATGAGCTCCGAGTCTGGTACCTAACCCCAGGTGGTGCGCCAGACCATGGCCTCTGAGTCCGATCAGTCCACAAATAATTATCGACGAGACAGAGAGCGATCAAAACATGTCGGCCCTAGTGGTGATTGGTCCAGAGGGTATGGACGAACTAGGTCCAGAGCCTTTTGGGGCTCTTTGGATCTCTCTGGACAGTGCTGGACCCTAGCAGCGCATGGTCTGGCTAGGCATTGGTGTGCGTCCGGGGCCTACGTCCAAAGTGTGCGCACAGAAAGCTGTTGGAGTGCCAACAGTCGAGTGGATACATGGTGGCATCAGATTCAAAGTGGGGAGGCGTCAGACCTGCGTGGCTTGTTCTGGAGCTCCTGGAGCCTGGGTCCGGAGCTCGGTTCGACAACCCTTCATGGGCTTAACGGCTAGTGGAGCCTTGGGGGCTCTATAAATAGATGTTGGTTATCTTAGGCTCACCCTCTTAGCCATTTTGATCAACCTCTCCCACTCATCTCCTTACTTGATTGTGCATTCCAAGTGAGTTAGGAGTGATCCAAAGTGCATTTGCTTGAGTGATTGCATCTAGTGGCATTTGGTCGTTCTTGCTGCGTTTTTCTTGTTACTCTTGGTGATTACCACCACCTAGATGGCTTGGAGTAGCGGAGGAGTGTTGGCACAAGTTGGCTATTGTTCGTGGCCACATCGATTGTGATTGTGAGGGGTTCTTGGGGTTATTCACCGATGGAGAGCCAAAAGCCACTCTAGTGGAATGCTTGTGAGTTGTGTACCCACATCTTGAGTTGGTTCTTACGGCGCCTTTGTGTAAGGCTTGGCTTGTGTATGCCAATTAGGGCGTGAACCACCAGGTGAGTGAGTCGTGACAACAAGAACGTAAGTTCTGGCAAGCAACTGAACCTCGGGATAAATCTTGTGTCAATTGTCTCATTGGTTTTCATATCAGACACTTGCCCAGTTCAGTATATCCCTCTACTCTTCTTCTATTTACATTTGTTCATTTACCTGAGTAGTAGTAGCTCTTGTTTAGCTTGCTAGTTGAGTACCTAGTTAATTACTTTAGTTGTATCAAGTTGTTGTTAGCTCACTAGACTAGCTCTCGATTGCTATAGAGATCATAATTAACTAGTATATTGGAAGGTGGCTTGTAACACATAGTAGAGCTAGAGCAAAACTTGGTTATCGCTATTTAGTGTTTTGTAGAAATTTTTATTAGGCTATTCACCCCCCCTCTAGCCATTTAGGACCTTTCAATGGTGGGATACGAAGACTAGACAAGGTTGTCACCACTTGCTAGCTACTAAAAACAATCCGTGTGACAAGTGGTAACCAAAGGCAATATTGAGTATAAGCACCATGACTACACATTCTCTCACTACTCTAATTGTGTACACACAGATCAGAGCAACAAATGAAAGGTGATGGTCGTATACAAGTGTGGGTCCTAGATCATCATTATAGTATGTACCAATTATATGCTAAGACTAACCACAACAACAATATAACTAGTATAATGTTGCACAAAGTAAATTCTAAGTGAAGTAGATGAATAATAATATATTAAATAAAGTAAAAATCTTACAAAAAGGGAAAGGTACAAGAGGTATACTGGACCAGAAAACCAGCTTTAGGAACTTGAGCAAAGCTCAACTCTACTTCTAACTCCCACACTAGACTATCCTACTACAAAGATAAAGTGGAGCTAATCTAAGCTTGAGAGCTTTCCTTTGCTTCTTCCTTGCTTTCATGAATGTAGAGGAGGGGTACCCCCTCTATTTATACTATTCCAAGTGGGCCCATGGATCCATGTGACATCTATTCTTTGCCATTGGATGAAATTGACTTAGATTGGAGGGCTAGGATGCACCAAAGGTGTGCTTCTTTGCATGGCTTCATGCTTGAAGACGGTGGAGGCAAGTGGGCCTACCAGGGTGGTTGACTGACCATAGGAGGGTCAGTCGACCCACTCTTTGCCATGTGGCACCTTCCCCTCTGGTGTGGACCCTCTTGTCTTGATGTAGAGTGGGTATGCACCTTCCTAAGTGAATTGGCACGTCAGTTTGCTTGATTATGGGCCCATCAATCGTTGTACTTTAATTGTGAGCCATTGAGAAGAAGCACAAGTTTGATCCAAGGGTGGAGGATCACTTTGCAGTGCTTCACATGGATCATGGCAAGCTTGGGAGGCTGGTGGGCCCATTGTGGTTGTCGATCGAACCCCCCTATGGTGGCCCCACCAGCTCATTTCTCTCTATTTCATATGGTTCTGCATAGAAAAACTCCAAGTACATGTTGAACTTGTTATTTGATAAAACTAGGAGAATACCCCATGCGTTGCTACGGGGATTCTAGATAATTTAAAAAGAAATTTGACTATTTATATTTATAGTTATATGAATCAAACTATCTTAAATTAATTTTGGTGAATGGTTTGACACATCGATGTGGATAACGAAATGCATGTTAGTGGATGAAGAGATAACTATCATAATTACATGTGCTAGTTGGCTATAATTGGAAGTTCTAGTGGATTGTTGATGTGGATAGCTTGCATGTTGAGAGAAATCTCTAGTGGGGTTTAGCTTTATAAGAGTACTAGGAGAATACCCAGCGCATTGCTCGGGGATTCTAGATAATTTAAAAAATTAGACTATTTATATTTATAGTTATTTGAATGAAACTATCTTAAATTAATTTTGGTGAGTGGTTTCATACATCGATGTGGACAACTAAATGCATGTTAGTG